CCTCAGCAAGGCTGATTGGTGCTAAGTGTCGCTTTAGCGGCCCACACAGGACAGTGGCATTCCTGAACTGGTGCCTGCTCTGTGCTATCTCAGCCTCCCAAACCCATGCTTTCTCCTGTTTCCACAAGAGAAGGCTGAAGTCCGTGGGAGGCATTTGCTGACTCCACTGAGCACCTCACAGTTGGATATCAAGCTAAAATTGGCTTTTAACTGCAGTTGAACCAGTGCTGAGCAGGACCATGGTGGGGGGTTGGGGGAGCGGTGCTTGCCAGCGTGAAGCCCACTGTGATGTCCCAGAGCTCAAGGTTTGTACCTACCAGATTCTGTCTGCAGTAACTAACCACATGGCCAATGCTCCAGAAGTAATTTGAAACAAAACATGTTCACTCTTATGAAAAAAGGGTCAAGACCGCATCTTCTCATAAAGGCAGAGTTCTGAGCAGAGGTTTAGACTGGAGGTCATGTGTCTGCTTGGACATTAGCTTGTGTGACTAAGTGTAGTAATGACTTTCTAGGGATGCCCATAAGCTTCTGTATACAGGTCATCTCAGTGACTTGTGCATGTAACAGAAGGGTGGACACTTGTAGGGTCCTATACAGTCTGTCACTGCTAGTCACTTTGTGTGTGTGACAGAAGGGCACTTAGCAGCTTCTCTAATAAGATTAAGGGGATTTTGCCTCTAGCAAGCTTAGTAAGAATTAATAACATGCTGTGGCTGCTCTTTACAAATATTTAGCAGATCTCTATGACGTTAGCCAAGGAATGGTAGGTTTATTACCAGAAATACCCCAAACAGATTTTTTCTCTAGCCAGTTCTGCAGAGAATCTGTTGATGTTGCTGGTGACATGTCAGGGCTGGATGCTGGCTTGGGGACTAGCAGGAGCCTTGAGCTGTCTGCTGTCTGTCTGACAGGGGCTTCAGTTGGCAGTTTTGGGGAAGCAGATGAGCAGCTTGCTGTCTGCACCTGGACTCTGTCAGCATGAGCACCAGTGTTGTCATTGTGGACAGCTGGGTCTGCCCTCAGCACAGCCAGGTTGGAGGCTAAGTCACCGTAGGAGGTCCACGTGTGGAAGTGGGGTTGTCTGGAGTGGCTGGGAAAGTTGAGTAAGAAATAGTGTTGAATGTCACTGGGGAACATTTTGGACTCAGTCCAAAATGGAGTTTTCTTTGCAGATGGCAATGTCTTACAGATTGCCTGTGTTCTTGGAAATCATTCTTTCTGGATGGTGTTTGTTAGATGGTACTAATCTCAGACAGGCCGAGTCTGGATCTGTGACTATTTCTCTTTGTTTGGCAACATTTGCCTTCTTGTTCTTTTATTTTTTTTTTTCAGGATTGGGCATGTTCTTGTGGTTAAACAGAAAAGCATTAGTGAGGTGTGTGTGTGTGTACATGAATTTCTTAGTCAAGTGACAAGACTCATTCAGGAGACAGCATTCATAACTATTACTATAACAGGTTGCAAAACAATTTAAAATTTTAATTAGATTTATTACTTATGAGGGTTGGAAGTTCTTAAGAGTCGGGTCTTCTACAACCTGAATCCCAGGCATCAAACTCAGGTGGTCAAGATTGACCAAAGCACCTTTATCCAGTGTGTCATCTTGGCCCCAAAGCCAGGCCTTTAAGAGGCCCTGAACTGCAGAGGAGCCCACAGTCAGCTGAGCCCCGACCAACGAGCACACACACATCCACTTCTCTCGCTCCTAGCTGCTTCACACTCTGACCTCCTCAAGGCGATGGACTATAAGCAGGGCTTGGAAGCAGAGCGAAGCCTTTCTTCCCTAGTTGGGTTTTTAAATTTTTTTTAATCAGGGCAGTTTTTATCACAACAGCAGAAACATGGCTGGGACCACAAGGGAAGGCTGGCATTGGCTTTCTCAGGAACTCTGTGCTGATGGAGTTTGAAGGTTCCTAGAGATTTATATGTCAGAGAGGAGACCACTGTGGATCAGTTGTAGCTGCAGTGAAGCAGATGTGTACGGCTAAGTCTAGCACACTCCATCTAGTTTTGTGTAGGACAGCAACACTGACGGTCTAGTCTAGTCTAGTTCATTCTAGTCACCGCTTCATGTAAGGCGTAGAACTCCTCTGTGACAGCACAGCAGCAATGTGTTCCTATAAAAGAAAAAAACAATTGTAGTTGGGGAAAGTGACACACACCTAAAATTTTAGCGTTAGGGCTGAGGCTGGAGGTTTGTGAATTCAAGGCCAGCCTGAACTCACAGCTCATGGTCAGCCTGGGTTCTTTAGGGAGACCCTGTCTCAAAAGAACCAAAGCAGGGCTCGGGAGATGCTCCCTGGATAAAGCACTCTGTGGCAAGCATGAGGATCTCAGTTTGGCACCCACATAAAGACTAGTGTGGTTGGTATGGTCCTGTAATTCCAGCACTCAGCTGGCAGAGACGAGGATTGATCTCCCAAAGCTCACTGGCTGGCCAGCCTACACAACTAGCTGCTGAGCACCAGATTCAGGTAGAGACCTTGTCCTTAAGACCAAGGTGGCAAGAGATGGGAGATGAAGACATGATGCTGGCCTCCACAGACGCACTACTTACCCCTACAAATCCAAACAAAAAGCTCTGAGGGGTAGAGCCAGCAGGGAGCAGTGGGTTAACATACCTCCTCACTGCTGAGGGTGCTCAGACGTCACTGCAGAGTGGATGGAGTTCTCAATTCCTTCAATCCTTAGGAAGATTTGTTTTGTTGTTTTTTGTTGTTTGTTTGTTTGTTTGTTTTTCGAGACAGAGTTTCTCTATGTAGTTCTGGCTGCCCTGAAACTCACTCTGTAGACCAGGCTGGCCTTGAACTCAGAAATCCGCCTGCCTCTGCCTCCCAAGTGCTGGGATTAAAGGCATGCACCACCACCGCCCAGCAAAATATTTTTGTTTGGTTGGTTTTGGTTTTTCAAGACAAGGTTTCTCCGTGTACCCCTGGCTGTCCTGGAGCTCACTCTGTAGACCAGGCTGGCCTCGAACTCAGAAATCCACCCACCTCTGCCTCCCAAATGCTGGGATTAAAGGCGTGTGCCACCACTGCCCAGCCCCTTAGGAAGATTAAGAGAGACAAAGAAGGGACAATAAATGTGCCCCTTGTAGCACTGAGTCTCCAGGTGTGCCCTTGGGCTAGCCACATTGGTGTCATCTATGAGCTTGATACAACTTTTGGATCCAACCCTGACTGCCCTAGTTCTAGTGCCTGGGAGCAGATGCAACAACCTGGCTTTCTGAGCCCTCTTTGGGGATGGCTGTGCCAGGAGAGTCCCTCTGTTGATAGAGCCTTTGCAGTACATGGGGTGGGAGGATTGTCTGCAGTGCCCAGGTATGCTGCACCTTCTGTAAACACGTGTCTAGGGAAAGTGCTTCCAAAGAGCCTGAGTTCCATCCATAGCGCCCACGTGAAAATGCCAAGTGTGAGGCCTTGTGCTTGAACCCCCAGCCCCAGGCAGTGGAGGCTTACTGGCTTTGCCACTCACCAGTCGGCCAGGCCTGCTTCATGCAGGCCAAGAGAAGGCCTGTTTGAAAGAAGGCCAGCACTGAAGCTCCGCCCTCTTGTAGCTGTCACAGACCTGTGCATACACACACCCCTCCCCCTGCCCCATCCATTGAAACAACTGCTTGTTTTTAAGATGATTTCCAACAGCTGGTGTAACAGTCTGTTGGAAATGAGACTGGGTTATGTGAACATAGGAAAATGCCACAAAAGCAAGTGAGATCTCATAGAAGTTTAAGTCTTGTGTTTAATGGATGAACTGTGGCATGCCCTCCTGCTGTGACCCTGCACTGCACTGCAAGGTGATAGAAAAGGAGATGTCGGTCTTGTGCACGAGCTTCTTAAAGATTCTGACATTCTCCAGCCACTGGAGAACAAGCCCTGTATCTGTTCTGTTCTTGGAGGGTGGGGATGAATGTATGCGTCTTCCAGCACAGAGCCCTATTGCATCCTGTGGCCTCAGCGCTGAAGCTGTTCTCAGTGTGGACCAGTCTGGTGCTGAGTGCCTGGGGTCTCTACACTGAGCTGCTTTGTCCATGCCATTCCCACTGCCAGTGTAGCATCAGACTCTGGCTGTTATGTGTGGGGCGCGGGGATAATAACAATGCGTGTCAATTGGATACAGCTTGTTAAGCCAGAATTGGCAGCCCAAGGCCGTGTGTGCTGAGCACGGAGGAGTGCCAAGACAGTAAACCCTGTACAATAGCCTGAGGCCATGTTGGAGGGCAGCCAAGTGTTAAAGATTCCACCTCAGACACTACCAGGGAAGACTTGTAGGCCAGTCCTGTCCCTGTAACAGAGATGAGTCACGTGGAGTAGCTGTCCAGGAAAGAGGATATTACTCAGGGTGTGGCTGCTCCTGTAAACCTGAATGAGCTGCTGCACCAGCTCACCCAGGGGGTGACTGCCCATTTACTACAGGACATCTGAGTTTACTCACACTAGCTCACCCAGAGGGTGACTGCCCATTTACCACAGTTTACTCAGGTTACCTGAGGAGCACTCAGCCTGTGCGTGCCTTACTGCCTTGGGTGTTGGTGGACAGGCAGGGCGCTTTACTCCATCATTCTACACCTCAGGGCTGGGGTGGGGATGGAGGGTGAGAATGGAAGGGGTGGGGGAGAGTAGCCTGTAGCTTCATTCCGAGTGACGAGCAAGTTTAAAGTGGATGTGTGCTGAGAGCAAGCAGAGACCGTTGGAAGTGTTTCCATTGGTCTGTAAAGGTTGTTCTGATTGGCACTGTGCTTGAAGGCACTGTGGATGTTTGCAGATCAGGTGGGACATAACTGCAGTGTATGCTTTCCTATACCTGCTTGAGGCTGATTGAAATTCCTTTGAGCCCTACTGGCTACCCAAGAATCATGAGGATCCTGAATCCTTGGTGAAGAACAGGGATGAGATGTGGAAGGCTTTAAAGGTTCAGAGGGAGAGAAAGCTCCAGCGCTGTGTGATAGACGCTTCTACCTGTGCTTGTTAGTCACTTCTCTTCCACCTCCTTTTCCACAGTGAACACCTACCTCTTCATGGTGCAGGCTCAGAGCATCCTGCTGCGGGACAACGTGAGGACCATCGGTGCCCAGGTCTATGAGCAGGTGGTCCGCAGCGCCTATGCCAAGAGGAACAGCAGCCTGAATGACTCCGGTAAGCTAGAGATGAGGGCCTTAAGAAGTCTGCTCCCAAGAGAGGCAGGGAGGGCTTGGGAATTATCCCCACAAGAATGTGTTGAAAGACAGGCTAGTCTAGAGGTCCTCCCCGCTCTGTTCAGGGTGTGTGAAGTGACTAAAAGGCTGCATTTGCTTTCTTTCTTTTTGTTGTATTTGATTTGGTTTTCAAGGCAGGGTTTCTCTGTGTAGCCCTGGCTGTCCTGAAATTTGCTCTGTAGACCAGGGCTGGCCTCAAACTCAGATCTGCCTGCCTCTGCCTCCTGAGTGCTGGGATTTTTATTCTGAACTCAACGTTATCTTTTAAAATATGGCTCATTTTGTTTTCGAGACAATGTCCCCTTATATAGACCAGACATGGCTTCAAACTCACAGAAATCCACCTGCCTCTGTTTCCCAAGTGCTAGGATTAAAGGTATTCACCATTACACCCAGCTATCGCAGGGGCATTTGGGGGACCTGTTGTTCCCCACAAAAGGTTTAACAATAAAAGTGCAGATGTTTGTATAGTATGAGCCCATTGCCTTTTGCTGTGGCAGACTCAGCTGTAGTCTAGCTTGGCTGCGCAGTGTTGCGGCTGCTGCCGTCCTACCATGTTGTTGCTCTGTCTCTCTGTCTTCCTTCTCCTTTCCTGTCCTTGAGTCTCTCCCCTCTGGCCTGGTCCATCTGCCCAGCCTTCCTCCCTGCCTCGGCCCCAGCCCAGCCACCAGCTCTTTATTCTCCAAAAAGCCACATTCTAGTCTAAACCAGTCATCAGGACAATGCCCAACGCATCTCCTTGGGTTGCATTTTGACCTTGAGGGCTGAGTGACCTTCAGTAGCTGGCTTTTTTTTAATTTTTAAAGACCTATCTATCTATCTATCTATCTATCTATCTATCTATCTATCTATCTA